CCTCGGACCGCGCAGCCCACGGCCTCCTTACCGCGCGCCGCAGATCCGTCGCCTTCTGCCCAGTACGAACTTCCCGCCGCTCTCGCCCACTCGCAACTCGGCGGCGCCGCCGGCCCCTCCACACCCCGCAGTATGGAGCCTTCCGATTGGCTCTGGGCGACGGAGAAGGCGGGACGAGTGGAAGGCGGCGGGGCGAGGTCGCGCTTCCCGGCCGACTCCCGAGGCATGCTGGGAACCGCGGTCTGTGCGCACGCGCTGCATGCCGGGGGTTGGAGTCTTTCAGCGGAAACTAGGTCCTCTAGCGCGTCTGACCCCGAGGGCTTCTGGGAATTGTGGTTCACGCTCCTCGGATGCCGGTCTTGAGACTCAGTGTTTCCATCAATGCGGTAAGAACCAAAAGGTATTGCCGGTGTTAAACGGAGCTTGGTTCGTTAAATGTGTTGGCGAAGGCCAGGTTATAAAAGAAAAAAACCGCTCCTGCTGGTTGTCTCCCTTGTGTGCTCGGATTTGCATTTTCTGAGCCTCTTACACACTACCCTGAAACACTTTCAACTATGATAAGGGTCAGTAGATTGGCCTGGTTAAGAAGACTGACTGGCTCTGGAAGACCCAGGCTGTGGTTCAAATCCCAGCGCTTCCACTTTAGAATTTTCAACCTAAGGGCAGTCATTTAACCTCAATTTGCCTCAGTTGCCTGTTTCTGTCGGGATTAAATGAGGTAAGCTTACAGGCAATGCATTGCACTTAGCTGGTACTCAATAAACAGGAGATAATATCAGTGTTGCGCTGCCCAGCCATTGCCAAGTTTCTAAATCCTATCTTTTCAACACCTGTTTCAATGTCTACCTAACCCTCTATAATAGCACAGCTGGGATTCTCTTATACCTGTTTCCTTTGTTTCTATAATCATTTGTCTAAGTCCTCATCACCCTTGAGACTGTGAGTTTGTTGTGGACTCAGACACTGTTCTAGATCAAAGTCGCAAAGCCCCAGGCAAAGGGAGATTTACAATGAGGCCGATGAACTACTAGCTTCACTTGCACTGGTGCCTACCGGAGCCCTGGGAAGGACCTTAAATGTGTGTTTACATAATGTTGGGGATTTTTTTATTTGTCAAGGTAAGATATTTCTCTCTGACTTTCTTATAGTGGATCCCCAAAATTACAGTTGGTTCCAGGAAGCCTGGAATCCTCTGTCCACTGAACACTGCAGGGATGTAGCTGATGTCCGGCCGCTCCAGGTACACTCCCCTGTCCTGACTCTTCCCCGCCTGCCATCTGCCCCAGCAGGCTGCCTCTGTAAACCACTGGAGGGTCTGTCTGTTTCCTGGATTTCATTGGGTTTGGCCAATGTGGAAGCTCACAGAGGATGAGAAGGAAAGAAAGTGGGTAGCTGGTGTGGGTGCTCCCCTAAGTCCTTCCCAGTGAGGTCACCTCCAGGTAGACAGGCCTTCAGGCTGACATCCGTGTGCCCTGGTCGCCCTCCCGTCTGCAGTTACAGCAACGCCTCCCTTTGTGTTTCCAGTCTAGAGGTGACAGCATGGTAACTCCTGTGGAGCCCCAAGTTCCTGGCCTCTCTGTGCCCGCACAGATGTAAACAGCCTCCCTGCAAATAAACCCTACTTCAAATGTGTCATCTGCTTTCTGTTGAGAGCCTGATGGCAACATACACACACAAGGTGAGTACTCAATGAATATTTGCCAGTGAAGAGGTCTCAAGATTCACACGTCTCACGATGTGTGAGACTCTGTGGCCAGAATCCATTGAGAGAAAGCATTTACACACATGCATGCGCGCGTGCACACATATCAAGAGGACTTGGAATAGGACTTACCTGTTACAATGTGACCATGGTCCCCTAACCTCACATAGACCTGCAGAAGAAAGGTCCCTGCTGCCACTCTGGGTTGATAACTGGCTGACCTGAGAACACAATTAAATCAGCACCAGTGCATGGAATGGTCCCAGGTGAGAGTAGAGGGTCTTTATTCTGTGATTCCTGGCTCTGGCCCCTGCAGTGGATGCCGCAGTATTAAGCGCCGGGTTCACACTGCTGTGTTCCAAGGCGGTTGCCAACACCTCCAACACCACCCCACACATGCTGAGATGTCCTCTCAGAGCATGGTAGGACACCAGCCCAAGCTGCCGCCACAGAGACAGCAAGTCTGAAATTCCAAGGATGGAGACACAAGTCTGAGGTGCAGGGGACCCTTAGCACATTTTTATGAGTTGGTAACTTGATACCAAAAGCAAGGTCTTGCTGGAAGTTGACCAGTCAGGATTTGCTACTGCTAGGCTTTTGAGATGAAGAGTGTAACTAAGCCAATTCCTAGGACCAGGGGTGAAAAAAAGAACGTAACTAGGTAAGAGAGGGTGATTAATGTAATCCTGCTATAGATCCAACTTGCAGGAACCTGCACAGTCCAAGTACAGGTACTTATTGTGAGTGGGTGGTAGGGCAGGCCTCCAGGGCATCTGGTGTGACTGATATTTAAGAAAGCCTTACTATCTGTTAGGTACTATCACACACACCACACACATTATCCTCCCAATTTTTTTTTTTTCTTTTGACACAGGATCTCACCATCCAGTTCAACCTGACCTTGAACTTACTGTGTAGCACAGGCTGGTCTCGAACTCAGGCAATCCTCCTGACTCAGCCTCCTGAGTGCTGGGATTGCAGGCATGTGCCACCAGGCCTGGCCAATCTCCCCAGTCCTTGGAAGGCTAAAAACATCTCAAAGAACCTAAGTGGTTCCACATCCCCTGTATCTCCTTCTAAATGTTCTTTTCCACACCCCCTTAGACAGAGCCTTTGTACATGAGGGCAAGTCTTAGAAAGAGATCATGTTAGCACAGTGGTAGAGACATAGCAGATGCTGCCACTCCTGGTGAAGGGGTCACTGTGGGTAGAACAAAGTGACTTGTAAGAGCATTAGGCACTGACCACAAAATGTACTTCAGCTGCTCAGCAGAAGGCCAACTGAAAATCTACAGCAAGTCTGCATTGACTTGCCACATAGGCAGGCATTTCTGGGAACCTTGCAGCCCTGGTGACCCTAGCACAAGGCACACGGATGTAAACACAGTCCTAGGTGCTGTGGAACAGAGGAGGGCAGTGCTGTTTCCCCCCCACCCCCATATACACACACACACACACACACATACCTCACCTCAATCTGTGAAATCCAAACAAAGAAGGCAGTCATTAAGCAGCAACTTGGCCGCCCCGAAGGTGCTGCCTCCACTTATGAGTCAGTTCACAAGCCTAGTCCTTGCTGTTTTCATCTGTAGAGTGAGTGCAGTCCTCTTTGGCAGACCAGCAATTGGCTTCCCCAGCCGATTTTGTTCTCTGGAACAAAGCCAGTCTGGTGTCGCTCCTAATTATAAGCTGGTCAGCAGCCACTCAAGGAAGTATCCCTTCCTGGGAGGAAGGAAGTGGGAAAGGCAAGAGGGTAACCTGGTGGGGTCACCTCGTTTGCATCCCCCAGTCGATTTACTATTGGGCATCGACCATGGCCAGACACAGTATCCTCGACACATTTATGATCTGGTGAAACAGGCAAGCACTTCATGAATTCCAGCAACTAGCACTTTTGTGAGGACCAGTTACCTTCCAGGAAAACCAATTCCTTGGACATTACAAGGTCGGCCACAAGACCCAGGTATTCAGATAAAATGGCCAAGCCCCAGCGCAATGAACCGATCTGCTGTACTAATAACCAGAGAGCTGTGTCCTTCAAATCCAACCCCCCGTGCGTCATAGTTTCCGATGCTGGAAAAATGTCAGGAGGGCAGAGCTGCCTCAGGCACACGGACTCTGCAGCTTGCACTGTTCATCTAGTGCCTGCTCGCCTGGCCCCTCCACAGGTACTCAGTTCCCTGTATTGAATCACATAGTGTTTAAATATAACTAGAGGGGCTGAGGAGATAGTTCGGTGGTCTAAGCTCCTGCCCGGTGAGCACAAGGTCCCAAGTTCGATCCCCAGTACTGCATGCAGTGCTGATCCGTGGGGCACACCTGTAATCCCAGCACTGGGGAGGCTGAGACAGAAGGAGCACTATGAGTCCAAACAGCACAGAAACACCCTGTACCAAATACATAAATAAATATGCCTCGTGTGGCTTCTACATCCTGGGCTGAGCTCTGGCTGATAACAGGGGAGAAGCTGGCCTAGATGAACACTATCTTTCATCAGTATTAAGATGCAAGCTTTTCATATTTTAACCTCTCTGAAATCAGGACATGTCTAACAATCTAGCCTTCCTGTACTTGCCAGTAGATGTGTTGGTTCTTTATCAGCAGCACATAGATAATGGGTTTTTTACACTTGATGAAGACTTGTGTTTAATGAATCCCAAGGGTGAGCCGGTGCTCACATCCTTGGACGTTTTCTCTGAGTTATCTGACCTCCTCCTTGCATTCCCTGTATGGCACACCAGATCGGGCCTTCCTGAACTCCCACAGTCCTGGACATTTCTTGCTTCTTCCTGCTTCACATGTTTTCAAAGCAAAGACAAACACCCTTAGGAAAGGCTGATGCAGGGCAGTGATGTGAGAAGACACAGGCCTATAAATGAGAAGGAACATCCCCCTGCTACTCCACTGCTGTGTGACTTGTGTAAACTGGGACCTCACTGAGCCCCGCTCCTCTGGGTAGCTGAGAGTAGCTGCTGGGATTAAATGAGATAGTGTCGTATGGAAGCATTTTAGCTCTCAGCAGATACCCGGGAAAGACGGAGCGCCCTCCTGCTCGGCCCTCTCCTTCTAAACCTTGTGGGTCTGCTCCTCGCATCCCTGTCTGCAGAGCAGAACCACAGGCAGCTGTCATCAGTGGCGAGACACAAGCGCAGGTCAAATGTACGTACACGCTCACAGCCCGCTGCCAAGTTGCAAACCGGGAATGGAAGGCGCGCTTTTTCCAAAACAAAAGCAAATCATTGCTTTTATTTTTGCAAACATCCAACTCTTGTCATGTTTTGATTTCAGAGCTGCTCCAAGATTCTGCAACAAAAGGCACTATATATAAGCATTATTATGAGACTCAAAGGGGCCCTGAGCAAAACAAAATCCTTTTATTATAAGAGAATTGGAGGGACTTGTTGCCAGATAT